GAGAAAATGGATGAGTGAGCAAGTAAATGAACCAATGAAATGGGACAGGGCCCCCTCCCTGCCATTTGCTGGAAGAGGCAGAGGCAAGAGAGGGGTGGAGGCTTTTTGTATTTTTGTGGTTTTCACGGAGACTTGATAGGCTGTGGCAGTCTGTTCAGTACCAGAGACCCCCGGGGACAGGAGTCAATGATGACGCTGAATTCTGAAGGCCAAGAAGAGTGGGTGTACTGGGACAGAAAGGAGGAGGTCTAGGAAGGGAGGCAAGGTCCCACAGTGACGCAGATGGTTTGTGCTCAGCTACTGAAAGGTTTGCTGTTCCACACACACACACCCCGCGCCCCCCCAGTGACACCACCAAAGAAAGGCTGGGAGCCCCAGTTCCCGTACCACCTAAGTCACAGCCCCCGAAAGTCCTGTGGGGCGCACTTCCACTCTGTGCACACGGGGTCGCCAGGAGTCAGGCGCCACCCCATGCTAGGACAACCAGCTCCTGGATTTGCTTTCCCTTTTTGGAAGGGAGGTGGACTCGGTGGGGGAACACGAGATGCTCTGTCTTGGCCATAGGAATGGGGTCATTTCCTCCCTTGCCCCTACCCTGCACATCTGCATCAGCCAAGAGACCACCCCAAACTAATATCCAACCCCAAATCCAATCCTCTGCCATCAAACCCAGTCCAATTCATTGGGACCATAGATGTAGGGTTTCTGAAGCGGTAAATATTTACGGAAGTAGAAAACCTCCTCTTTCTCCCACAGAGCGGCTGGTGGATTTGAACTACTGACCTAGCACGGCCAACATATAACTCACTACGCCACCAAGACTCCGTGCGAGGGAGATCCAACATATGGCAGGAGCCTGACCCCCAAGCCCCCAGGGGAGACACCAGGGCTGGATCGGAGCTGCTGGAGGCAGGGCACGGAGGGGAACCTCGGGAGCCCCAGCACAAGGGAAGACTCCAGGAAGAATGAGGAGATGGAGCAGAGGACCCTGGGACACATTCCAAGGAGACTTTATCTAAGAGCTGGATGAAGGAGAGCCCACAGAAGGCCCAGGAGCAGGTGGAAGGTCCAGAAAGCAAGGAAGAGCAAGTTCCAGGGCTCAGCGATGGTTCAAATCCTGCAAAGAAGCCAGGAACTGATGAGATCAGTAGAAAGGCCGCTGGGTTAGGGCCAGGGCCTCACTTATAACGGTACTTCAGGGGAGAAGAAGGGGTCAAACAGGAGAGGAGGAGGAGGAGGAGGAGGAGGAGCCACATGGGGATGAAGGACTGCAGAGCAGGTCACCTATCCAAGGCTGATGGTGGAAACAGAGCCGAGAAACCCAAACCAACAGCAGGTCTGTTACCCCGACGGGGCTGGAAAGACATGGGATTGTGTGCGGGCAGGGGAAGGCACCAGAGGAGACTGAGACAGGGCAGGGGCCTAAGAAAAATGGAAGATTTCCGTAAGCAAGGGTCCCACAGAATCAGAGAGGAGCCTGAGCCGGCATGAGCTGTCGTGGCCCTGCCCTGTGGGTGTCAGGCGCACACACTCACAGCAGCTTTGACATCGGGGTGCACAGGTCACAGAGATACTCCTCACCCTCTGGAGGGCACTCTGTCCCCACTGACAACACAGACACCCACAACCCTACGAGTCCCTAGCCTTTCGGGGTATAAAGACCACTTTTTAAAGGCCCCCTTTTTACAAGTGGGGTCTAAAGACCCCCTTTTAAAGGCCCCCTTTTTTCAAGCAGTCACATGATCATGAAGGAGCCCTGCTGATGGGATGGTTTATGCACTGGGCTACTACCCACAGGGTCAGCAGTTCGAAACCACCAGCCGTTCCGCAGGAGAGAGATGAGGCTTTCTGGGTCTGTAAAGAGTGACAACCTGGGAAACCCACGGGGGCAGTGCTGCCCTATGAATCACCGTTGCCTCAATCGCCAGGAGGGAGTTTTCCAATCAAGCAGATGGGGGAGGAGCAGGAGTGGGTCAGTGGTACAATTCTCCCTCCCACGGTCCTTGGGAGCACTCCCCACCCTCCTGCCAGTGAAGGCTGCTGTGTGTGTTGCTGGGCCGCTGGGCAGGTGTCCGGGGAGCTTGAGGACGAGGACCGATTAGGAAGAAAGGCCTGGTGATCTATCTGGGAAAAATCAGTCTATGAGAAGCCCTCGGATCACAACAGGTCCGCCTGCAGCCCACCAGGGATGGTGCTGAGCCTGGCAGCATTGAGGTCCATTGTGGTGCGCGGATGGGTGGCATTGTCAACTACCAAGAGGCGCATAATAACCATAGCAGAGGCACGGCCCTAAATCCAACGGGCTTCACCGTGGGCTGCATTTTATGCATTGCTACAGTAACCGCCTACACTTGGAAACCGGGCGAAGGTAGAGGCTCCAGGTCTTGGACATTGCACCAGGAGTCAAGGGTCAGAGACACCCAGGCAACAAGGCTGCAACCTCCCTGGCTCTGTGGCCTGAAGACAGGGGACCTTGCCCTTCCCAGTGACCAGAGCTCTGCCCAGGCCAGGGGGCTCCGTCCTGGGGAGCCAGGCAGATCATGGACGAACAGAGGGAGAGGGGACTAGCAGGTAGGGGTGACAGGACCACTTACCGTGTGCGGGGGGCCCTCAGGCCTTTGAGGACATCCTGGTGTAGAGTCAAGGGGCTGGGAAGGGAGCGGGGTGCACCGGGAGAGGTCCCATTGGACAGCCCAGCCTTGGGGATGGGCGGGATCACAATGCCTCCCAGAGACTTCAGCATCTTCTCGTCATTGCAGTGCAGGTACTGTGGGGAGACCTGCACCTGGACAGGGGGCGGGAGTCAGGGACAGAATTGGGCCCCCAGG